TTAGGAAATGTGTTACCTGGTAACTGTTGAGGATTCTTTGAACTTACGGATTGGACTCTTGATTTTGCTCGAGGATACTCTGACCGTTTTTTAGTTTTTCCAGTAAAACAAGTAACTATTTGTTAGGTTGTGTAAGGGAAGGAAATTCAGATTATATGTTTTGGAAAAGAGTTGATTTTGGGCATAATGATGGAATTAGGTCGTATCTTATCTCATTTTGCTAAAACTAATATTCTTTGAGTAATTAATTCTCCCCCTAAATATGAGATTTGGGTAGAATGGTTGGCTTTCAAGGAAGAGACGTCGATGGAATTGTAGAATTTCCTAGTGTAGCATTTATACTCTTTCATTGGGAGAATAGCTGAGGAATAGACACTTTATTGCTCTAGGATCAAGTTTGCTTATGTGTTGTTGGTAAACATGAACAAAAGCAGAGCAACCAAGTACTTTTTAAGGGTGATGGAGAGAGAGAGTTTTGAGGATCAATGTTAATGAGTGTCTATCATGGTATTTGAAATTTTTGGATTCTAGAGGGCATCATATCGACAGCTTTGTAGTAATGAGAACTGCTTCTCCCTATAAGTGTTTTCAGACATGGGTAGTGAACATGAGAGTCCTAACAACTTCTAGACGGTTTCTATTCTTTCTTTCGGCCACTCCATTTTGTTGTGAGATGTCTACACACGTCCTTTAATGTATTATGCCATTATTCACTAGGTAATTTCTTATAATGGAGTTGAAGTATTCGCTGGGTTGTCAATTTTAAAAATCTCATTTTGCCTTGGAATTGAGTTTGGACCATGGAGTTGAAGTTTTTTGAAGTTTTGACCAACTTCAGATTTTTCTTTCATTAGGAATATCCAAGTATTTCGAGTTTGGTCTTCAATAAAGGACACAAACCATCTGGCTCCGGTCATATTATTGACTCTAGATGGTCCCCATATATCACTATGAATGACATAAAAAGTTGAGATGCTTTGTATGGCTGACTTGGTTGTCTTTCGAACGTGTTTAGATAATGGACACATCTCACATTGACAATTTTCAGATTTTATTACTGAATAATGCAGGAAACAACTTTTCCAGATACAAGAAATTGGGATGGCCTAATCTATAGTGCATTAACATGATTGCACTATCTTTATTACTAACACTTGAAATCAAATCCCTATTAGACTGGCTTACTAAGACACGTCTGGTATTTTGAATATGTTCTCCAAGACATTCATCAACTCTGAGAAGGTAGAGTCCCTCGCACTCATTTTCATTGTCATTCATCTTCCCCGAGTCCAAGTCCTGAAATTCACAACATGTGGGAATTTTTTTAGTAACACAGTTAAGATCCTTCATAAGTTTGCTAGTCCACAAGTTTCAGGTCCAAGTCCTGAAATTCACAATATGTGGGAAAAATTTTAGTAACACAGTTAAGATCCTTGGTAAGTTTGCTAGTGGACAACAAGTTTCAGGTTAGATTTGGAATCAATTGGACAGATTTTAAGATTAGGTTGTTTCAGATAACCAAATAACTTGTATCAGCAACCGTATATAAGGAACCAATAGGACAGATTTTAAGATTAGGTTTTTTTCAGATAACCACATAACTTGTACCAGCCACCGTAGATAAGGGATCCATTAGCTATTTGAACTTTATAGTTCTCAGAGCAAGGTCTGTAAGTGTTGAATATATTTATATTTCCTGTCATGTGATGATTGTTACTTGAATCAATTATCCGGGAACTTGGTTTCTCAGTTTTGATGCTAAATGTACTTGAGAATTTACCTTTTAGTTCTATGGAACTAGTTCCAATGATAGGAGCAGGTGTACTAGGTTGAGAAGATAAGAAAACATCTTTTGAAGAAGTTCTATTTGCTCTTTGCTGAAGAGTGGTACCTCAGAAGTTGGATGCTCGTTTCCAGTAGCCATGCCCGAGCCTCCGGTTTTCACGTTCAGGAGGTGGTTTCAATGGTTTCCAATCAGCGGGTTTCTATTCAACTTCAGCAGGTCTCTCTTTTGTGTCCTAGTCTACAACAGTTGTCACGCCATGGCCTGCCATTTCGAGTTTTGTTATCATTACTTGAGGAGTTGACCCACGGGAGTTTCTGAACATAACCTTCTTCCTACTCTCCTCTCTTCTAACTTCAGAGAATGCTTCTCGGATTGATGGTAGAGGCTTAATCCCAAGAATTATCCCCCTCACTTCATTCTAAATTTTTATCGAGACCCCTAGAAACTTGAAGATTTTTTTCTTTCTCAACTAGATTAATTGTTTTTTGTATTTAATACCATCATCAGGGCAATTCCAGATGTTGCCAATAATGTGTCAAGGTATTGAAATATTGTGTGGCTGATAGTTTCCCCGCCAAAGATCATGCAGAATACTTTCATTTCAAAAAGTAACCCAATATTTTCGTTGTTGGAGTAGATTTGTTTCGCTACATCATATATCTCCTTTGCTGTCCCATAGAACGTAAGGTTTTCACCTATTTCAATGTTCAAGTTGGTCAGCCAAAACTTCACCATATTATTTTCTGGGTTGCACACTTTGAACTTTGGGTCTGCCTTCTGTGGAGGAGTAGCAACACCAGTGAGATATTCGCAAAAATGAACATCATAATGGACTGAGACCATTGAAGAAAATTGTCTATTAAGTTTGTCCTGTAATGGGAAAAACAGAATTGTTTGTCCCATCTAAGCTTCACAAATGGCATTTAAGGCGTAAACCTTGAGGCGCTAGGTGAAAGGTTGAAAGTTTCAAAATGTTTTTATACCATGGGCATCACCCTCAATATTCATCTGCTTTTCAACCTGGATAAAAAAGGGACAGAGTAAAAATATTCTCCCTTTACTTCTTTTTTTTTTTAATTAAATTCTTTTTTAAAACCTAAATTTAAATCTAAATTAAAAACTAAATTAAATATTTATACTAGGCTCTCTCTTAGTAATGACTGCTCGCGTAAACCGAACTGATGGTCAAATCCAGGTTGTTAACTGCTGTGTTGCTCGGACTTGACGTTTTGGTCTCCATACCCGTGTTGACACGACACGACACGGGTACGAAATACGGGTCAGACGCGGCAAGTTTAAACAGGACACGGCCAGTGAAGGAGGAGGAGGAGGAAGAAGAAGGGCTGCTGTGCTGTGGAGCTGCGAGTCGTAGGGTAGTTTAAACCGGACACGGCCAGTGAAGAACGAGAAGGAAGAGGAGGAGGGGCTGCTGCGGGAAGAAGAAGGGTTGCTCTGCGGGAAGAAGCTGCGAGTCGTAGGGTAGAAGAAGAAGGGCTGATGTGGTGTTAGTTGGGCCTGTTTTTAGTTTTAAGTTTTGGGCCTTCTTTTTTTTTTCTGTTTAAAAGAAGTTTATCAATTGTAGTTTAAATATATTTACAGTCTTACAGGTTTTAAATTAAATGGTTAGGTTTATATATCTTTTTCTTTGAATTTTACAACCTTATTGGTTGAGTAAATTTCACGATGTTTATTATTTTTTTAATTATACTTTTAGTTATTTTAATCTAGATAAAATCATTTTAGTTTTAAAAAATATCATGATTAATGTTGTTACAAAATTTTAAAACAATTTAAAATATGATTTTTTTTTGGTCAAAATGATTGATAGATAATTATAAAATCAACATAAATAAATTTTTTTATAATAATTAATAGCATTTTTTAAAATTAATAATTTTTTCAAAACTTGACAAAATAGAAATAATCAAATAATATTTTTGATTAATTTTGCATGTGCAGTTTTTGGGAAAAAAAATTAATTGAAATTTCAAAGACGTACCCGTGTCTGAAATTTGGACTCTTTTTAGCCATGTCCCCGTATCCTCCATTTTAAAAAATAAAAGATCCGACACTTAAATACGTACCCGTATCCGATACCCATACCCGAGTCCGAGCAACATAGGTTAACTGTAGGTTTGGTAATTTCCTTAGTTGTTTAGTAGGGAGAAACCAGGTAACTGGAATCTTTCATTTACCTATAGCTAAGTTCGTGTATAATGATTTTGTTAATAGGTCCAAAGGTAAGATTCCTTGTGAGTTTTTTAATTGTTTTCGTCTTCGCCAACCAATTGACCTTCTACCTTTGCCTACTGATTTTCGCCTTGCTATTTCAACACAAGGTTTTGCATTTTATGTTTGAGAAATACGTGATGATATAAGACGAAATATTTCTTTGAGCACTGAAAATCATAAGCTTGTTGCTGACTCGATGTATAGAGAATTTCAAGTTGGTGATTATGTTATGTTTCCTAGTGAGTTTTCTTCACCTGGGGCGAATTGATGGAAAGCAATTAAAAGTCTGCTTCAGGCTAAACAGGACTAAAGGATATAGTTTAACTTAGTTTAGATTGAGTAGTTTTTATTAATTAGGATTTTGTTATATATCGTTGTTATCAACTAGGACTTCCTATAGACTTGGATTTTTACTTTTTTTTATGAAAGTGTTCTAGGTTTTTCGTTTCATTCAGAATACTCTTGTTGATATCACTAGTATAGATATTGAATCTGATTGCAGAATTTCCCCCGTTAACTGTCTTCATTTCTTAACTGTATACAAGTATGTCATTCCTCTTTCTGTGTTGCATCCTACATCAGCAGATATGCTACTGCTGTTGGCTTTTTCTCATAGTGGCTGCCCATTTCAACTATCTACTCATATCATTTTGTTGCTATGCTGGGCAAAACTCTGATGGATTGTTGAGATTGCATTTTCTACATTACTTTTGTGTTCTTATTTTGAATTAACAATTCCCCGTGGAACTAAACTAGCACCCTTGAATTCAATTCAATTTTAAGTACTGATAGCGTTCTTTTCAATTTTATTTCAGTAGAATATTGATAATTTTTACTACGTTTTATTCCTGAACTTTCGTCTTGAATTACACAATAGCTGTTGAAATGAATTGTGGTAATGACGGCATTGATAAATGAAGATCAGAATAATAATGGGTGTTGTTAATTCTATTGCTCTTGATGGTGGTGATTGATTTTGCAGAGAAGGCCGAAACCAAGGCGGTGGATGCATCGCATGATTTCCCCGGAGGACCTGATGCTGCAGTTAGTTTCTCTACAAAGGCGGAGGACAAGGCAGGAGCGCAGTGGAGACGGTTCTGATGTCAGAAGAGACCTGCTACAGATGCTCTTCTCGTTTGACGCCAACAGCGATGATGACGGAAATAATAACGGAGATACTACTGGTGCTGAAGAATGTTCTACTTGACAGATCATTTTCTTCAAATCAATTGTAATTAGTACCATGAATAATTTGCAACATTTCAATGTTAATTTGACTAATTGATAATAATTGTGCAGGGTTTTGGTGAAACAATGAATTTACTCTGTTCTTGAAGGAAAGGTGTTGAAAAACGACATTTTGAATGAATAAATGTATTTCTTCAATGTTTTTCAAATAGTTTCAAGTGTTTAGATAAGATGGCTTCTGATGTGAAAAGATTGAATAATGTTATCTAGTGTTTATTTTTAATTAAATGATCTTTTAAGTCAATACAATTTATCATTTAGATATATATTCATGGAATCAGGATGTAGAAATTGTACCTTATTCGGATTAGGGGTTGCAGAATAATCTTGGGTTAGAATCTGAGAAATCCGATGTATTTGAAATCAATGGTCTGATTTTTGCCAACACACTTTGTAATTCAATTTTTGTAACTCAACTTTGTATAAATAGCTTTATTGGGCGAACAAATTGGCAAATTCTAAATGAAATGCGAAGTCACCATTTGGTTTATTTTGGAATAAATAAAATATTTTTGAACAATTCTTCCCCTTTAGCATCTCATTTAAATAGTATTACATGATACATTTAATTAAAGATAAAAATATGAAACACCAATGGTACTAAAGGATAATATTAGACCCATTTTCATTTAAGGGGAGCTGCCTACTGTTTTTCACAAATAAACAATCTCGACGCTCGATGAAAATTAATTTAATAGTCTAAATAGAATTCAGAAAAATCTTTGGAAACCATATTTCCGTAACCAAACACCTTAATCTTATAATACTACACACCCTATTATCACCCATTCATCGACGTGAGTTTTCCCAACTATGTACTTCTCAACCTCTATTTCCCAAAAAATCTCATCGGCCACCTCCACAACCCTCGGTTGATATCGCCGCACCCTCTCCACTCACGACGCCAGTTGTTGGAAGCGAAAGACGAGATTTTTTTGGAGATGGATGTCGAAAAGTAGATGACTGGGGAAAACTTATGCAAGTGAATCGGTGATAATGGGGTGAGTAGTATTATCAAATTAAAATGTTTCTTGTAATGAAAATATTTGTTTCAAATATATATATTTTTTTAAAGATTTTATTTATATCATTACATTAGTTTCATCAAGGTCAAGATTATTTGTCAAAAATATTAGGCCAGCAGAACGCTACCCCGTGTTTAATGCTACCTAACAGTTAACAAAAAATCTATTTGTAAAACACTTAGAGCTTGTTTGGGAAGGATTAAAATCGGATTAAAATTGAAAAATTAGTCGTTATTGTTGACTTTTATTAGACGGGTGGAATCCAATAACAGCTATATTTTCAATTTAAATTGGATTAAAATCTTTCACAAACAAATCCTTAGTATGTTGTAATTTAGTGGGCCCTACCTCCACCTGAGAGGTGGTAAAAATTACAACACACTAAGAGCATGTTTGGTTAAGCTTAAAATTAAATTAAAATTGAAAATATAATCGTTATTGTGTTTCACTCGTCTAATAAAAATCAATAATAACGATTAATTTTTCAATTTTAATCTCTACCAAACACACACATGTACCCGTAGTGGGGTCAACAATAACTAGTTTTTTTTTTTATTTTTTAACATGATCACTCTTCCACTCTTCTAACGGTGGCAGATTCACTTGAAAAAGAAAGGACAGAAAAATGCAAAGAACGATGACGATGAAACATCAGAGCCAGAGACCATGGGATGCTCTACCGAGCACAGCCCTGCTCAATATATTCTGCAAAACCTCCATAAAAGATCGATTTGACAATATCCCATTTGTTTGCAAATCATGGGCTCATGCCTCTGCTCACCCTCACTGCTGGGCTTCCATGATCGCCGAACCAGAATCGGACTCTTTTGAGGTTGCTTTTCTTAAAGATTCTTATCCTTATGGTTCAAGTTTTGTTGACCCTTTTGATGGGAGACGTAGCGCCGATCCCCAACGTGGCGTGATCTGCCTGCAAGCGCTGATTGGAAGGCTGGAGGCGGTGCCTCCGTCAATTCGCTGTATTTCTTTCCTTTTCTCGCTTCTGTTGTCAGTCCTCCTAACGATGATGAGCTTCTTCGGCTCATAGCTAGACAGTAAGTAATTTTGTTGAATTGTTTTGTGAATAGAAATTTGTCCGACTACATTTGATTTGATATGCAAATTATGATTGAAAATTATCACCAAAGAATTGGCCAAATTGGGGATCCCTTTATACACAATATGATACATCACTTAAGCCTGATTTCATGGCACAGTATTAAGGTTATTCTAGACTACTTGTTGACCTTGAAATATTTGTATATGAACCTCTTGAGAAATTAGCTTCCTTGTCTCTGCAAAATTATCTGCTTGATTAGTTGTAAACGGGAACTTATGTGTGTAAGTTGCATGTGCATTGTAAGATATCTTTTCTTTTATGGAAGTTTAGTTGGCTATAGCTGAATGACTGGAGTTTATTTCTCTAGTTAGATACTAAGGGGGATTCCTGCATGCTATGCAAAAGCGAGAATAAGCAATATATAAACTAAGGGTGTGTTTGAGCCACATTATTTTGGAAGAATGTATTTTGGAATTGTAAATTGATGGAAAATGTGTAGTTGAAAAAGAAGGAAAATTTATTGATGTGATAGAAAATATTATTTTATTGAAAAATGTGTGCTTGAAAATAAGTAGAAGAATGAAAATAAAAATTTTAATGTGGTTCAAACGGGGATAAGAATAAGAATACGAGATTTATGTGGAAATCCAAGATAAAATGAAACCAAGGCCAAAGGAGGATAAAATGAAACCCTAACATACAGACCCCCAAAAATTCATATAATTTTGGTTTCACCACGTGTCACACTGCAAACTTTTCGGGCCGTGTTAGGTAATTGCCTCAAAAGTCAAAGTTGGAGAACTTCTACTGCAAATAATAATAGATTATTATGGATCCTATAAATAGTGGTTTATTCCATATTTTAGGATTGTGTGGCCTGTGAAGAAAAGAAAAAACGTAGCGGCTGCCTGCCTTGGTGCTGGGAGAGTTGTTGGAGTATTATATATATATATATATATATATTTATTCAATTCTTCACAGTGGTTGTAGTGGTTGATATATATATAATAGATTCACGCATAGAAGCAAAAAAAAGTCAAGAATAGTGGCTAGCCAAGAAGAGGATTGATGCTTTGCTAGAATTAATATATATATATATACACGTACAGACATAGGCAAGGAGATTTGGCTGCTGTTTTTCCTTTGGTTTACTTTGGAATTGGTTTGGTGAGTGAAAAATTCTATATGATTGTAACAATTTTTCATATAGTAAAAAAGCTTTGACGGTCCGTTTAATTTGTGCGTTGTATTATTTATCTTTCTTATTTGCTAATATTCTTCTGAACAACAAAAGATCCTGCGGGTTAATTGAAATAAAGGAAATTGGTGAAATTTCCCAACAGGCCGGGCCAAACATAATTCGGGTCACTGTACTCTTAACATTGCACAAGGCTTGTTCCACGTGTCAAGTAATCAATCTATCTAATCTTAAATTAATAAACGGTTTTAAGTTTTGAAGTTACTTATTTGGCACACAATGTCATTATTGCTTTTTGAAACTATCTGATTGGGAGGTTCGGATGGTGACAACTAACTTGGATACACCTAAATACACGTCACTCTCTAATAATGCCGGCTAACGGCTCTTTTTATGACTTCTTGGAAGGTCTTTAATTAGTATTCTCACAGATTTGGCTGATATCATACCACAATCCCTGTTCACGTGTTTTCCTTTTCTTAATTATGAATAGATCTCTTTACTCTTATGACTAAGGTGTCTTGTATTTCTTGAAACAGTGAGTTGATCAATGGGATTTGGTATGAATTCTAAGGATTCACCACTCATTCTACAACTCGGTTTTCTTCCAGCTAGGGTAATATTTTCCACTCAAGATCTAGGTCATTTATGAGGTGAATATACTTGATAGAAGACCGTCAAGTGATATTGTCTCTAAACTTTTTATACTGTATTGGCTTGTTTATTAACGTGGACACCATATAGTAATGGATAGTATTAAGGTGAAAAAAACGAAGTTAAAACTTTGACCATTGTATTTATCTGCCTTGTGTAATGCGAGATACCAAATATGTGCTCTAACTTTCACTTGTCCTATATTGATTTCTCCAACAACACCAATTTTGTGTTGACTTCTGCAGCTGCCCAAACTTGAAGCACATCTCCTTTCATGGATCTTTCGATGCCTCCAAGGAAGCGATATTTGATGTTTTTCGCAGCTGTCGAGAATTGGAGCTTATTGACTTCTCCAACACCCCATATTTCAATACTTCGATTTTGCAAGCATTGAGTTGCTGCTGTCCTAAAATTAGAGGGATTAGAAGGCAGGGTTTTCTTGAAACAAACTTTGCTTATGATCTGTCTAAATGGTTTCCAAGATTGAGGCTTTTGAATCTGTCCCATTCAACCATTGTTGATTTAGACATGTTTACTATTGTTACCAAATGCAAGGAACTTACGTATCTTGATGTTACAGGCTGCCAGCAATTGATTCGTTACATGGACATTGTGAAGATGGCTTCAAAAAGGATACCGAAAATCCTGTACGATTGAGCTTTTGGATAAGATGTATTTCTTGTTCAAATACTGTTTTATTTAATGCCTCCAATGAAATTTTGAAGTTTTTCTTCAAGTTTTGGTTATCCATTCGTTCTTATACAGTTATTCAGGTTTCGTGGCTCGTAGATTTGGATTCTTTGTGAGAGATTGATGTTTCCATAAAACTTCATAGCTGACAGATAACCCTTTTGAAACTCTCTCTTTGGGATTGGGATTTTCACCTGTGTAACATCGTAGTCATTTTTTATTTTTATTTTTCTGGTATCTGTATAGTTGAGATGCTGCAGTTTGATCCAAAGCGTACATAAAGAACTGAATTTAGGGGGGAAGATTGGGTCATTCAGAGTAACAATCAATTACCATTACTGAAAGAAAAACCCAGACTTGGAACAACTACAAGAAAAGACAGTTGTTGAATATCATACCACAAAAACTCAACCTTTGATTTATGTGAGAAAATGGTCACTTTCTGCAGTTTCCATGTATTTGATAGTCATAAAAGTCATTTTATATATATATATATATATAATTAGACTACAATGCCCTTAGTTTTAGTTAAATACAATTAAACCTCTATAAAGTATAAATTAATAACCTTGTACAAAAGAAAAGTGTATTCCTTATTTTCTTAAATATTATACATTGTATTTAGTTATCCGTCTTACGAACTAACAGTTCTATTAGAGTGTTCGGATAAAATTATTAGTAACTATTAGGAGTAAAGTATTGGATCCCGCAAAATATATAGTTAATAAATGGGTAATAGTTGTGAACATATTGTTGAAATTAATGTTTGAATGAATAGATAAAATAAATTTTTAGTAACTTTTAATACTAGACAAAGAGACTATCTATTTTTTTAACCAAGTAAAATTCATAAATCTGGTTAGTTTGTCAAAAATAGATTGAGCGCGGCTATAATTTATTTTTATTATTATTATTATTATCATTTCTACTAGGTTAAATTGCACCATAGGTCCA